GCCGAATGCTGGCTAAGGTTAGGCCCGCCTCCGACCTTCCTCAAGCAAACTTCAAAGGACGACCTCGATTCCTTTTTTCAATATTACACTCCAGCTAACATTTGGGCCGGTGGAGGAGAGTAACCTCTTCGAGGTCACTCGTCCATATATGCATGTACGCTTATGCACACAAACAGCTACGGTGGGAATGTACGTACGTGCAAAAGTACGTAGACAGTATGGGAATGGTGGAATCTGCTGCAGACGAGTTCCGAAAATTGCATCCAGAGGTCTGGTGCAACGGAGCGAGCAGAAGGAGAGCGAGCGAGAGAGAGGGAAAGTGAAAGAGAGGGAATTGAGAGTAAAAATATCAGCCAGCAACCTTACGTCCGGCAATTTAGGCGTGAAGAGAGGACCTTGAAGAGTTTAAGGCTACCATGCACAACGGTGCAATTCCCTTGGTCGAGGATGATCACGACGTGAAAAAAGTGAAAAAGTGCAAGCTGCATCCAACTGGTTGCTCTGCAATGCTTGTATGCACTGAGAGAAAAAAAGAAGAAATGTAAAAAAAGTAAGTGGAGAAAGTGGACACGGAAGAGGCTTATTTCGTCTGTAACGTCTTAATCGATCAGACGGCTCTTAGAAAACAATTGTTTTTTTTTCATTGCTGCATTCTTCACAATCCGCCTGGTGGATCCAGCGCATCGAATAATTCTACCGATAATTTTGACAATAAAGATGTAATAACTAATGCGCATGCGCAATCTGCATAAATAAAGTGAACAGTACTTTGATACACGTGTCGAGATTATATGTATAGTCCATTCAGTAAGTATTGCCTATCGTACAGAGTGCGTACGTGTGCACCACGTATGATTGACGAAATGCATACGTTATTTCTTGTCTTCTATGTTAAGAAATTTTCCTTTACTCCGCGGCGAAAGAGTGGCCTTTGTTTTTTTTATGTTTTTTACGTTGCGAAAATCGAGCCGTGTTTTCTAGATGCGTATTATCGCCGACACATGTGCGTTAATTTTCGTCTGAACAAACCAGATACCGGGTGACTGTTTACAAAATACATTTTTGTTATTTCATTGGGCTGTGCGTCATCGGATGGTCGAATCAACGTCGTGCGGTCATTGCACTTGCGCTCGGTTCCAGCTAACGTCGACGTATCCCCACTGCAGCGCGCTAAGTCACTCTAATTTCGATCAATTAATACAAGACTCGGCGCCCTGGCAAGGAGCAAGCGGCATCTTTTGCCACTCAGTCCCTCTCACTATTTTTCATCATGTTTCCTTCCTCCTTAATATTAATATTTCTCATACCGTCTTTTCTGACCTACGTAACGTCGTTAGCCTGCATATCGGAATAGTTCACAAACGCAACGTGCACTCTTTTTACTTCCTCAACCCACCCACCTACCCCCCCACCCTTCGCGTCTCCCCCCGCTTCTCCTGGGAAAAATTGCTCGCTTAAAATATTTCTGAATAAAATCGATGCGAGAATGCAGCATGCATTTTTATTGTCGCTGCCGATACCGAGCGATTGGTATTCGGTGCATTGAGAAATTATCTGTGAGCACGCGGCGCGTTAGGTATTTAAAAAAAGAGAGTGAGATGGAAGAAGAGAGAGAGAGAGAGAGAGAGAGAGAGAGAGAGAGAGAGAGAGAATACTGCATGGTAAAAGAGTAAAGAATGAAATCCTTGAATGACGCAAAGTGCAGTAAGCGCGAGTGCATCGCATAAAAACGAGTACCTACCTAGCTACACTTTTCATTAAAAAGTTTGTACTCTCTCTCTCTCTCTCTCTCTCCTCTCACTTTGTCAGCCTGCTGCGCGCGCGCGCGCGCGCAGGAGAGAGAGAAAGATTCATGCGAATCCACGATAAAGGCACGTTTATCTATCGGTCACCGGATATAGGTCTACAAGCCCCTTAGATTACGAGTCACCCCCCCCCTCCCCCTCCCCGCCCCTGCACCGCCGATTGCCGTGCATCAAATGCAACTCCCACTCCGGGTGCATCGGATGCCGTCCTTGTCTTCTTCTCCCAATCTCATTCCCTCTCTCTCGTCCCTGCGTCTCTGCTTCCTCCTCACCTCCTATCCATTTGGCTGTTGCACCTCCTTCCCCCCTGCCAGCCTCGTGCAGTTTTGCAATTTCAACCTCATTTTTGCGCATGGCTATCGCATCGGGCAAACACGATAAAACATTTTATCAGGGTTTCGTTATCGGCGCTTTATTTTTTCAGGCCACATGAATTTTCGCAAGAGGCTGTTGCACCTTGATTGAAATAAATAAATGAAAGAGAAAAGAGAAAAAAGGGAGCAAAGGAAAACGTTAAGAACACGTCGCAATCTCAAAGTCGTCGACGACTTCGAGCGTCTCGGTAGCGTCCGGCTATCTCAGCTTTATTTTTCTATAAGAAACAACGAAAAATCTTAATACGACTTTATCATGTATATCCGATGGAAGCTCGAAACTCCAAGACTCGACAGAGCATAGAGAAGATTCAAGAACTGCTCAGGTTCGCTGAATTATTTTCTTACTCTCGCGGTACGCACGCTGCATAATTGCAATTGCACGCAAACGCCAATACAATCGGCGTACGCGTGCACTGCCGGCCAATAGGAAGTTCGTATTCGTGGACTGCGACGCCAAACGTGCAGTACACCGACATTCAGTCCCCGGGCAGACGAGCGCAACTATGTATACTTGGATCGGCATCGGTTAAGGCATTTCATTGAGTAAGAGTGAAGGAAGTCGTTTGAACTTTGCGGCTCTGGGGTATCGGGATACCCCAATTCTTTGATACAAATATTGTATACGTTATCTTTCGTTATCCTCATTACTTACTCGTAATACCCTTTTTCCTCGTTATTTATTTATTTTTTTAAATAGATTTCTACCGAGACATAAAGTCTCTGATCTTCCTAATCCAGCCTCTATTGGTACTTTATAGGTTAGTTAATCTCGCTCGCCGCTATTCACGACAAGAGCCGAGCATCGGGAATCCACGACTATCCCGTCTCTTGGATTCTCCCTGCCTCCACCTCAGCCCGACTCGACTCGACTCCACGAGAGAGGTTCTTTCGCCTGGACAGATATCTCATGAAAACTTGGGGGTTTACGTAACAAGATGGACGCGGTGGTTTCCGTGTGCCTTTCACGCGGCAAGGCCAGCTTGACTGGCGCGTATCATAAGGGCGCTTAGCGCTGAACTGCATCGCAGCTAACCCGTACCCTTACGTGACTAAGGCGTCCGGATATATCTATGCTAAGCCAAGACCATGAACCGATCGTGGGAGCCCAGCGAAGAAATATTTTTGCTAAGTCGAGGCGCCGACTTTTTTTTTCATTCCCCACTTCGTCGCTTCTCGAACGGTGTCGCTAGTGACAGTTTCTTTATGCTGCCTAGTAATTTTTTTTTTTTTTTTCCTTTTTTTTCATCAGACTTTTATCGATAAATACCACCTCTTACTTTCCTGCCCATACAATCAGTCGGGACTTACTGTATACTGTGGTTGGTAAGACTGACTATATTTAGATAATTTTGTCCTCGTGACTTTACCAGAATGTTTTTTTTTTATTTTAGTCCAAAAAAATTTTTTGTCTCTGTATACAATTTTTTGTTCTCCAATCGGCACCTTTCGCTTTTAGGTGTGACGACACGAGCGGACGTTCTCAAGTACGCCATTCACTGGTCGCGGTAGAAAAGTCCTGTGCACGCGGCTTTAACGATCGTGCGGGAAATTACCATGATCGCCGAAAACGACCGGAACCAACTTCGAGAATTCGCGTTTATTCTCAGTACGTTACTCCACTCGGTACGTATCGTGTACGTATTGCAGACAGTACGTATAATCGTTATATACGGTGTGTGTGTATATATATATATTTATATATATATATATATATATATATATGCGTGTATATGAAAAACCGGCTGTTCCTTCTCTTTTATATACGGGACACCCCGTGCGTGAGGTCCGATCGTGCTTTCGTAGAGCGTAACGCATCTCCGCGCCGAGCCGCATCTTTCCGGGCGTTCTGGCGTACGTACGTACCTACGCATAATTTTCGCTCGCACACGCGTTCATGCGGCCTCTTATGCACGCGGCTTAAGCCCTACGCGTAATACATCGAAGCATGCGTGCCATCTGGCGTTCCATGTGCTTCTTCGCGTTTCTACCTCTACACGCATAATTCCTGCGTACACGCATTATTTTATGCGTGCAGCTCACGACGTATACACATGCACCGATACACAGGACAGAGACTGAGTAGTGGTAATATTGCGAGCGGAAATAGGGTAGAAAATGTTACTACATTTTCCTCTTTGAAATAACGTGAGACTCGTTTTTTTTTTCCTTTCTTTTTTTTTTTTTTTTTTTTTTTTTTTTTTAATTAAAACATATTTCTCAAGAAACAGGAGAATTTTTTTTTTTTTCTTTTTTTTTTTTTTTTTTTTTTTTTTTTTTAATTAAAACATATTTCTCAAGAAACAGGAGAATCCCAATGAAAAACAAAAAGATGCGTGGGTGTTGATCTTTTTTTTTTTCTTCGAACAACTCTAATCGTAGAGAAAACAAAATTCTAATTTCGATACTTTATATGTATACAATTCCAAACATTAGCAGTCGAACGCGCCAGTGTAATTCCTCGATGAAATTCGCAAGGATGGAATTCAAGATCCAGATGGGTCCGTGCAGCTTCCTGCCATTTCTTTATTTCTTCTTGTCCGTGAAATCTCACGACGGCATAAAAAAAAAAAAAAAAAAAACCGTCGCGCATAAATTAGCGTTCCTTGTTGAACGGGCCAACGCGCCGTAACCTAACACGTGTTTCAAACATGTTTTTAGTAGCGGTGCAACGATATTACGTCTCGTTATGCAATCCGCGTCACGGAGTTTACGTTACGCAATCGTAACCAGAGATTCGATTGGCATACTACGGTTTACCAGAGATTTGGAATCGGGACTGAAAGTTTATAGGATTTTTATTGTTATTAATTTTGCACACCGCAACCTTCCTTCGCTTCTGCATACGAGAGAGCCGGCCATCCTGATCTTCGAGCAGGAAGTAAATATAGCTATACATGTACAGCTTATATATACATATACAGTCCGGTGTAACAGATGCAGAGAAAGGAAGGAAGAGACTAAAGAAGCAAAAGGGTATCGGAACAGCATAATTGTACGGAGTCGTGTATACGAAGATACCCGAAGATACTCGAAGGAGACGCAGTACGGTTATCGCAAGCGGAATGAAATCGCAGAGACTGTTTCGCATGCGGCGCCTCACGGCGAGCACAAGGGTAGCCTTGTTAGGAGAAGTATAGTTCAGGATTCGCCTCTCGGTATTTGAGCGTCGTTTAACGGCACACCCGAATTATAAATAAGTGCAATATCGCGCGAGTCTTTTGACCCCGTCGAATGGCAGGGGCCGGAGGGCCAGGGGCCCGGGGTCAGGATATCGGAGAGGGGCAGGGGAAGCACGTTGTCTACGTCGCGTTCTGAAAGACGAAAAATTTACGTGACGTTCAACGTCTCGCAGTCTTACTGTACAATTGGGTGGGGAATATATAAATTGGATCGAAAATCTGAAGTAAAAATTGGCGAAGCGGTCCTATCGTTTTCTCGGGGCAAACGGGGGTCAGGAAAAATGAGTGTCGCACGGTCGTTGACGTATATATAGATATAGAACGTATACACGTTTATGCGAATAATATGCACAAGGACGCTCGACCGTAGATTTTCGTCTGAGTGGACGAAAGCCGATAGCGAGTTGTCGTCTTAATTAATTCAGATAAGTGGAAAATAAAAATTGGATGATCTTCGCCACTTGACTCTCGGGCCACCCGCTTGTTCTTTACCGGAGGCCAAACTAGTTTTCATGACTTCTCTTATTTTCTTTTTCATTCGCTTCCCATGTCTTCTCTCTCTCTCTCTCTCTCTCTCTCTCTCTCTTCTTCTTCTTCCTCGTATTTGGTTCCTGCGCCACTCTCAAATACTTGATGCTTCTCTTCGTGCAAATCCAGCTGTGGAAACGTGGAAGCGATTCCCGTCGACTGGCAAAATGCTGGCGACTTAGCGACTTCGCGAATACTTCCAAGAATCGTTCGATTGCGTTCGATGCTCGAGGACAATTGAATCGATTGCCTCGGTAGGTTATTTCAAATAGCGCTATACGCGGTGACTCGTTCGGAACTCATGACATGCTTACACACTCGAGTATACATAGGTGCTTATTATATTGCCAACATTACTCCGGCAGAGGGTCTGCTAATGATGCTCATATACAGGTGTTATATTCTGTAGGGTGATACGTGTGTGAGTGCGTGTGTGTGTTTACATGAGTGCGTTTTCAATGCAGATATAACAAAGCCAGCTTTTAATTGTGTATTTTGAATTTTTTTTTTATTTTTTTTTTTTTTCGTTTAAACTCTGTATATTACGCTTTTGCACACTTCAATTATTATTGCGCGTCTTATTAGTTTCCTACGAAATCGCATTGCACTAAGACGATTCGCAAAAATGATACGATAGATAACGATAAGACGGTCAGCCGCGCGTGATTGCATCGTTGGTGCATCAAGGCCAAGGTTCTAAAGTGTTTCGAATTTTTTTGATAAAAAAAATTTGTTTAGTCACAAATATATATTTTTTTTAATACGTATCCCAATCGTTGTGCCTTTTACACGCGATACCGATATTGTCCGTTTAATTGATTTATGCACATTTTCTTATGTTTAGGTATAAGTTTTTCTGTATTGCTGCGAAAATTGGACAACTGTTCAGAATCAATGTGAATCATGAATTATCACGTGTAAACAACTGTTTTTTCTGTTTTCTGTACACTCATACCTCTGACCAATACGAATTTTCATGAAGGGAATGCGTATATTTAGATAGAGTAATTATTTCGATAAGTCTTATCAGTCGAGGCCCCCGTCAAGTCTTCGGTCGTCGATAAAACTTGTTTTCAACAAACTAATCTTTTTCATTGGTGACGAGCGAAGAAAAATCCAAAGTTATCAGAGACGTAGCCTGGTAGCGTCGGAGACCCCTGATCTACTTTTACAAGAAAGAGAAAAAAAAATGTAATTAAATTCACGTAAAATGTCTTATCGGTACAGTACAGCTTATATACCTATATATATATATCTGATACGACAGTGAATCATTAAAACGTCGAAAGAGGGGGACTCTCTTAGCCGCTGTAAGAGGACAGTCCAAAAAAAGTGTACAGCATCTTTCAAAAGCACCGCAGCCAATTTCTCAAGGATCCTTCTTGCATTAGCACCTGCCCTAATTCACCGGCTGTGTACGTATAATTTAGTCGTGGCGCGATTAAAAAGGTCTTTTATTTTATTCACAACGGAATGAATCCCTACTTTTATTTTTACTTTTTCTCTTCTCTCGCTACCAAAAACCCTCACGGTTTTCAATGAAACTCAACAAGTCCAAGTGAAAACTCTCTCAGTCGTTCGCGTCGTAAGAGAAAGAATCCGCTTTGAGCCATAGGGCATTTTATCGACAGAAGTACCTGACACTCTGGTATAACTTAATGATTATATATATATATATATATATGTATATGTACCGTATGAAAGTCGTAAGTACCTATCTTCGTATATACGCACGCGTAATGTCTTATTTGTTCGGCATGTCAAGAAGACTCTCTCATTGGCCGTGGCTTCATTACCACTTTTTTATCTTCGCTTCTAGAGTAAATTATACGAATACATATATATATATATATACACATGTATATATACATGACTATATGTAACGATTCATAGCGCCTATACGTAGTATCTTGCCTCCCTGCAAGATCTGAATAGCTGAAGAGGTAAAGTGTCGTCATAGTAACTTTTACATTTAAACACTGTAAATCAAGCAGAGTATGCCCTATCTATATTTAAAATAGGTACTATCTAAGAATAGAAAAATATGTGATTGAGATAAAAAAATGTTCGTCATAAAAAAAAACCAGCATCGACGTCAATCGCAGTTTCGAAATAAGAGTTTATCGAATAAATATTACAGTGTCGTAAGAACGTAAGAAAATTTTTTTTTCGAAAATATTAAAAAAAAATTATCAGTACCTACACGACCGTTGTAAATTCTGCATATACATATACCATGTGCGGGAACATTATACAGTCGGCAGTGAGTAATGTCCACGTGTGTACGCTTGCCCATTACGTTTGTCATGCCAGGTTTTATTGCCGTTACGTATAGCCATAGTAACGATAGAAATCATTGAATGGGAGTAGCGAAGCACGTGGTGACACGGGTACCATTTCCAAATGAGGGAATAAAGTTCGGCAAGGAATCGACGGTGGGAGGGGTTTAAGTTAAGCGTGAAAAAAGAAAGGAAAAGGAAAGCCAGAAGAAATGAAAGGTATAGAAAGAAAAGAAAGAGATAGAAAATTCCGTAACACGACAGCGAGAGGGAAAAGAATGCTAGCGTTGAGTGACGGGACGTAGCAGCCTAGAGCAAAATGTCTTGAACGACTAGTTCAATTTATCCCTCTGTTTTTTTTTTTTTTTTTTTAATACCCCCCCACCATTTTCTTTTTGTGATATATATATTTTTTACTCTAGAGAATATTCAGCCCCCGTAATAGGGAAGGGTGCCCAGGGGGTTCTGTCCACCCTTTGTATCACTGAGCAATCACGACCTACCCCACATACGAGTCGTATGTGAATATACTCTTCTCTCGGTACGGACGTCATTTTGCGCTCTGTGGGGTTGTAAATGCGTCCGCGATGACTGCAGTATCCCCGGAATGACTGATGAACTGCAACAACCTTTCTTCGGCCTTATAGGTCTGCGTACAGGCAGTTCCAATTTGCGCGGCACGCCGCGCGAGCACGAGCCTTTTTGCATATGTAGATATGTACTTGTGTATATATATATATATATATATATATATATATATATATATATATATATATACTTTGTACGTAAACGTTTCACTATATAGTCTTTAGACTCTGGCTCAGAATCTGACTTAATCATTACCGAACGATCCTGTAGACTCGATAAGCCTTACCTGACATAGCGTTGTACATAGGTATACCTATGCCTTTGAATTCATACGGAGACACGGCTGACTCCTGCCGATCGTGAGATCTCGGCGCACATCGGAATAAACTAGAAATCTATCAAATTCTCCGCGCGGCATCAGAAACGACGTAAAACCAGTTTGGTCGGTTCGAATGATCGGGTTGGTCGGTTTGTGCCAAGCTGAACCACCAACCTGAACCGCCAGGATCACTCTGGCAATCTAGTGCGGCAGGAGGGAGCACTGACTACCCAGGGAATAGATACTCACCTACCTCACTAGCTCCTGGAGTATATGGGCTATTTGTGTTGGCGTCTAAAGGCACGCGAGCGTGTCCGAGTAGCATTGGAAATCATTGAGGAGACTGTTGCACTGCTGGTGCATTGCTGCAGTTTTAGGACTTAGCATTGGATCCCATTTGGTATAAGGTATGGGTTGTCTCGCGCCACCCGATTGGGACCGGTAAAAAGTGGTCGGCTGTTAAATGGGTATGAAAAACGTTAAACCGGTTGACGTAGATGGGATTATTTTGGTATGTATGATTTTTTTTTTTTTTCTTTTTTTCTTAATAATAATTTTTGTGCAATTTTAGGTATAACGTGTTGAACTGGTTCGTTGCACCTGGTCGGTATAAGTTTTTTGTATACTATTCTTGTCATAGGTCTGGGCACTGGCTGTCGTTTATCTCTTTTTCTTCACTTTCCACTCTGCGCTTCTGACTCCTCTTATTCTTCTTATGTTACGGGATGCATCGAGTTACGGTGCGACGCACGAGAGGAATCGCCATTGCTTCATGGCTGTACGGGACACGTCTTCTCTTGGCGGTATCTCTCATCCACGTCCTTTTGATTGAAGTCAAGATTATCATTGGCGTGACGTAGTCAAGTTATATGGGTATACAGACGCCATCTTTACTATCCGTGAGATAATCATTGGGAATTAAAGACTGTGTCCAGGCTTGGCTTATTTATCCGTGGTGGGAGCATCGGCATATCGCCCGGTAAATGCAACGAGAGTCGAGTGTGAGTGTGCGAAAAGAAGAAAAAGAAAAAATTGTAAAATTACGTAAACGTCCC